GCCCCGAGGGGCGGGCATGGCCGCTCCCGGCGCAGGTCAGCGGTCTTTGGCCCCCACGGCCCCGGTCCACGGTGGGTCCTGTCCCCGGCCGCCAGCCCCTCCCGGGAGCAGACTGTCCCTCATAGCAGCAGGTGCCGGACACAGTCTCCAGACGGGGCGACCCAGAGGCGGGGGCCGGCTCCAGTCCCTAGCGCGCGGGCAGGAAGCCTCAGCGTCCCCATCTGCGAAATGGGTTGAAAATGCGAACCTTCCCCGGCGTGGATCTCCCCAGAGGGCCCTAACCTGGCGTTTGTGATGCCTCAGTGGAGGCCAGTGGATGTAATTAGGCTAATCGATGCTGGACAGGAAGGGGGTGGCCTGGAGCGGAGACTTTGACGTGGACAGGGAGGGAGTGGCCTGGAGTGGGGACTTGCAGTGGCTCTTTAGGGAGAGGAAGATTTCAGGAGGTGGAGAGGGGGAATGGGGAGAAGGGTGCCCCAGTTTGAGGGAGCTGAGTGGGTGAGGCCACAGGCAGGAAAGGACGAGCTGCCCTTGGGGCCCGCTTCCTCCCTGGCGCATTTGCTCACCGGGGGGCGGTTAGGCGCACAGACCTGGCCGTCTTCTGTAGCTTTGTGTTTTAACCCAAAGGAGAGAGACCGGCGGGCATTTCAGACTGGGTGTCGGTGGGAGGCTGACGGGTGCTGGCTGGTGGGGAAGGGGAGGGGGGCGGAGCGCAACTCCGTGGCATGTCCGCTTGAATCTGTCTCGTCCCTTCCACCCAGCCCTACAGTTCTCGGGGCCCCCAGCCCTTTCCGAAGGTCCTGGGTCAGTGTTCAGGCATGGCAGATCCTAAAGGGGAAGTTTCGCCCACAAAAATGGAAAATGGAAGTGGGTGTTGGCAGATGATGCCCCCCACCCCCACCCCCCTTTAACAAAGAAATGGCCTCGGACATTGGTAGATTTAGAGAATTTCGGCTTTGAAGCCCATGGCCAATGAATGGCGGCTGCGGTAGCTCTTTACTGCTCTAAATTATAATAATAGTAACAATAACAGCAACAACAATAATAACCTTTAGCAAAGAAAGCTGTTTAATTTGTTTATACAGGTTTTCCAACTTAATTTTCCAAAGGCGTTCCTTTCTCCATTAACAGCCCTCCATGACAGCCTGGCGTCACACCCCCTGACAGCCCTCCCCTGGGGATTCAGGGCTCCACAGAGCACACTTAGGGACGTGTGGGCTGTAGAGACAGCTGGCCCCTGCTCTCAGGCCCGTAAACTTTCTAGTTTTCTGAGTTTTCCTGCTCCTTTGCTTAGGCTATATAGCAAAACCTGCGAGACAGGTATCTTTGGTCTCTGCGGGGTGATACTTGGGTGGCTGTTTTAGAGGGTAAGGTGCTCATTCCCGATGAGGGGACAGACAGGGTCCGCGTGCCTGTCTCAGCAGAGGCCGAGCCCATTGCTAACACAGGCTGCTGCAGTGGGTCCGATGCTCGTTGCCACGGTTGGCATTGAAAACATCAGCCCGACGCTGCCTCCTGCTCCGTGACTAGGTGGGGCCTGGTCCACTCCTGTGCGCCTTTTCTTTAGAAAAAAGTTCACACCCTCTCTCTCTGCTTAGAATTGAAGAGGATCCGCAAGAAGCAGCCTTTAGGGAAGTGGTCAGTTTCACCCCGGCCCCTCTGCCAGGTGAGAAAGACTGAGGCTCTGGACGTCCACGCTAGGCCTTCCGGGCCAGCACCCACTTTCTGAGTTCTCGGTTGTCTGAGCACCAGCACAACCCCCCGATCATAACCCCCCGACTCCCACTGCTTCCTCACTGTCTCCCTCCTCTGACCAGTCAGATACTATGACAAGGACACCAGCAGCCCCATCAGCTTTTACTTCTCGTCCCTGGAGGAACTCTTGGCGTGGACGCCCGGCGTGGAGGACGGCTTTCACGTGGCCTTGTCGCCCCCCGCGTGTCGGCAGCCGCCTCTGAGCAGCGGGAGGCCACGAACCTTGCTGTGCCATGACATGATGGGCGGGTACCTGGATGACCGGTGAGGACATTGCGAGGTCATCGCCTGCGTTTTTTTTGCTTGCTTTTCGTTGGTGGAGGGGCTGGGGGGAGGCCTGGGGGGCGCCGGATGGGGAGTTGGGGGATGGGTGAGACCAGAGTGCCACAGTGCGGGGAGCAGCGTGGGCCTCAGGCCTCGGAAGAGGGGCTGGCTCGGCGGAGCCGTGCCTCTGTCGGCCCTGAGACCTGGGTCGCCTGCACCCGAGTCTGGTCGGTTGGCTGCAGGGCACCCTCCTCAGTGCCCTCCCTGGGTTTCTTTGCTGCACCTTCGTCACCTGAGTCCCGGTCCCCTGGCCTGCTGGCCGTGGCCTCGGATGCAGCAGGGCGTGGCACACCCCTCCCATTCCCAGAGTCGCTGCGGCCTCAGCTCACAGGTCTCAGGCGACCCTAAATTATCTTGGGCATCGCGGTTGATGGGAGGGCTTGAGCCAGAGCTGGCCGTCAGGTACAGACGGGCAGGTGCTGAAGTCCCGGGTGCCTGGCGTGCAGGGAGACTGTCCTGCAGGAACTGCCCCGTCCGCACAGAGGAGGACACGCTCACTTGGAGCTTTGGCACGTGTCCCCTCTCCTCTCTCCTTCTGTGCTCCTCATGGAGGCCACAACGTTCAGTCCATCGGATCCGAAGGCAGACGCCTGCACGGCCCGGTGACGCGCTTCCCTGGAGACCTGTCCTCCTGGGACGAGGACAGTGGCTCAGTCCTGCCTGTCGCCCCAGTGTGTGCGCAGTGCCGGGTACACAGCGGCCGTCGGCGGTGTCGGGGCTGACGGGGGCCTTCGCAGCGGCTGCTCTGCCTCCGGGGTCCTGACTCGGTTCTGTGTCTCCATCCAGGTTCGTTCAGGGCTCGGCGGCACAGAACCCCTATACCTTCTACCACTGGCAGTATGTGGACATCTTTGTGTACTTCAGCCATCACACGGTCACCATCCCCCCGGTGGGCTGGACCAATGCCGCCCACAGGCATGGCGTCTGTGTGCTGGGTAAGCGCAAGGACGGGACTGATCCAGACAGACTCCTTGGCACGCCCGCCAGGTGACCAGCGAGGACAGGGCTGTGCTCTGCTGCTCCTGAGCGGAGCGTCTCACCTAGGAGCTGCCCTGACGGGTGAGGACAGGTGAAGGCAGACTCGTTCTAGAAAGGACAGTAAATAGCTTCAACTTTGCAGGTCGCTGGGTCACTGTTGTGGCCACTCATGAGGCAATAACCTCCATGCATGACAGGCAAGGACGTGGGTGGCCGCATTCCAGTAAAACTGTTTATAAAAACAGGCGGTGGCTGGATGTGGCCCGCAGGCCACCACTGGCCAAGCCCTGGGTACAGCCATGCTTCTCGAGCATCCACCAGCATCCAGATCGTTTGCTGGCTTGCTTGATGCCCACAGCTGGGCCCCAGGGTGTCTGATTCACAGCCGAGAATTTGAACATCTGACGGGTTTGCAGGCCACAGCAATGCCGCTGCTGCAGGAACCAGCCGGTCGGGGGGCAAGGCCCGACCTCGCTCATCTCCTGTCCCGCAGGCACGTTCATCACGGAGTGGAAGGGAGGTGAGCAGCTGTGCGAAGCCTTCCTGGCCGCGGACGAGCGCTCGTACCAGGCGGTGGCGGACCAGCTGGTCCTGATTGCCCAGTTCCTCCGTTTCGACGGCTGGCTGGTCAACATCGAAAACGCCCTGAGTGTGAGCATGGCCCCTGCCTGGCGCTCAGCCCCACCCTGCTGCCACGCGGCGCCCCTCCGCCGTGTCCTCGGCCTCACTCCGGCCCACGCCCGGGCGGCTCCCTGAGCAGCGGCAGGGGCCACCGCTCGTTTCCCAGTGAGAGCCAGCTCCCCGTCTCCGTCATGCGGGGCGAGACGGAGCCTTCCCCAGCGCTGCGTCCAGGGACCTCGTGCGGCTGAGCCGGCTCCCCCGGCTCCTTCAGGCGACACCTGTCCTCCTGTCTCTGCTCGGCTTGGGCCGCACGTGGGGCTCCCTCTCGCGGCACCCTCCCCTCTCGTGCCGTTTGCCCTCCTGACTGTTGTCTGTGTCCTTCCTGCTTCAGAAAGAAAGGACGGTCGGGTGTCTGGCTGGACCCTCCCCTCGGTGGCTATGGGGTGAGGGCCTTCCGGGACCACGGCCTTTTTGGGGGATCTGTGCTCCTGGGATGAAGTGTCCCGTCCGTCCTGTGCCAGCCTCTTCTCCTGACAGATCTCTGGGCCTCAAGGAGGGTCTTGTCTTCGTCCCTCTCCCCAGGAGACCGCCGTGGGGAACATGCCCCGTTTCCTCCGGTACCTGACCACTCAGCTGCATCAGCAGGTCCCGGGTGGCTTGGTGCTCTGGTATGACAGCGTGGTCAGCAGCGGGCAGCTCAAGTGGCAGAATGAGCTGAACGAACACAACAGGTGAGCCTGCGGGCCGGCGGCCGGCCCTCTGGGCGGAGGCGGGGGTGAGTCTCCGGCAGCGTACACGGGCTGGAGGAGGCAGGGCCACCTGGTAGCCTGGCCATCAGCAGGCCAGCTGGCGCCCGGTCGCCACGCCGAGCCGGGGATCGTGGGCCATGGGTTACGGGCCTGCCCTCGGTCCTGGAGGCAGCCACGGCTGCGGCAGGCGTGGACGCAGGTGCCGGGGGAGGGAGGAAGGCGAGGCGGCGCACGGGCCCCCAGCCCCTC